TGGACTGAAACTTTGGCTCAAACTTAACACTACAGGAGTAGGCAGCGTTTCATTCTATTGTACATCGTGATTATGAGCTGAAACCGACTGGACAGCACCTAACAACAACAGACTTGAAAATAAGTATCTGTTCGTTTAAGACACCCAACTTGTAAGATTTGTGTTGTAGGAGCACTGGATAACCAAAACAAAGGTCTTCTTTTATCTCCCAGTAACTTCAATCACAGCACAAGATATGTTAATTACTATCTTCTTTGATGCTTAAAATACCATTTTTAAGTCAGAGAGATACTAAGTGTGAGTCCCCGCTTAGTCATTCCCACATTATGAATCTGATGCGGTTCCTTCTGTTCTCTGAGCCTTCATGTCCCCATCTAAGTGAAGCATCCCCGCAGGACTAAGTAACAGCACCTGGAGAGCACCCAGCCCAGGATCACTTCATGGTCATGCTCAATACATATTAACCCCCCTTTCAACATTTATGTTTGTTGACCGAATTCCCTTACATCTATGATTAAGTATTGTAGTTTAAGGAAAATCAAGTTATTTTTAAAAAAGGCCTCCTCCAAAGAACTTTAAAATCTACGAAGAAGCTCAGAAAAGACACTGTTCATGGATTTAAGCACTCCCTTTCCATTCAGCACGGAGGAGGTCTCAGAATCTTCAGCCCAAGTGGCCTGAAAACATGTGAGTGAAACCTGTCTGTCATTTGTATCCCCCCAGGCTTCCTAATGAGTTACACCACTGTCTGCTAAAGGGTTGAACTGAATTCTTCTCACAGGTTTGCCAAAGGAGTACATCTGACTTAAGTCCTGGTATGGTGCTATACGATAAGCACCAGACTGCTAACTGCATGATCGGTGGTTCAAACCCACCAGCCACTCCTTGGAAACCCTATAATAGGGTTGCTATGAGACGGTACTAACTCAACTGCACTTAACAACAACCCAATAAATTATTTTAACAATGCAGATTTGAAATAATAGGTGCTAAGTGGGAGAAAGATGAGGCTTTCTGCTCCCATAAAGATTTATAGCCTCAGAAACCCTGTACAGGGTCGCTATGGGTCAGAACAGACTCCACGGCACATAACAACAACAGCAAGTGCTTCTGAAAATGTTTTGGTTCTTTTAGGATTTCAGAGGAGTCCTGGTGGTACGGTGGGATAAGCAATGGGTTGCTAAGCAGAAGGTCTACAGTTCAAACCCACCACCTGTTCCAAGGGAGAAAGATGAAGTTGTTTGCTCCCAAAAAGATTTGGAGTCTTGGAAACCCTAAGCAGCAGTTGAACTCTGTCCCATGTTGTTGTTTCTAGGTGCCGTCGAGTCGATTCGGACTCAGAGCCACTTTGTACACAACAGAATGAAACAGTGCCCAGCCCTGCACCACCCTCCTAACTGTTGCACTTGAACCCACTGCTGGTGCCACACTGCCAAACCATCTTAGGGGTCTTCTTCTTTTTCACTGGCCCTCCACTTTACCACCAAGCATGATGTCCTTCTCCAGAGGCTGGTCCCTCTGTATGAGAGGCAAAGTCCTGTCATCCTTGCTTCTAAGGAACATTCTGGCAGTACTTCAACAGAGATTTGTTTGTTCTTCTGCAGTCCATGGAACTTTAATACTCTTCTCCAGCACCATAACTCAGATGCATCAATTCTTCTAAGGCGTTCCTTATTCATTGTCCAACTTTCACATGAATATGTGGCTACTGAAAATACCATGGCTTAAGTCATGATGTTATATATTGGTCCAGTGGTGAGGATTCTTTTCTTTACACAGAGGTGCAACCCATACCAAAGGCTGTGGTCTTTGATCTTCGTCAGTATTTCAAGACTTCTTGCTTTCATCTTGATTGTGTAATTTGCTTATCAAAGGTTGTTAATTAATATTCCTCCAATCCTGATGCTACATTCTTATTGTAATCCAGCTTCTGGGATTATTTTCTCAGCATTGTTGCTGTTATTACGTGCCGTGGAGTCAGTTCTGACTCACAGCGACCCTGTACAGTGTTTCTGAGGCTGTAAATCTTTATGGGAGCAGAAAGTCTCATCTTTGTCTCACGGAACAGCTGGTAGTTTCAAACTGCTGACCAGGAGATTAGCAGCCTGATTCGTAACCACTACGCTACCAGAGCTCCTTATTTGCTCAGCATACAGACGAAGTAAATATAGTGAAAGAATACAACCCTGGCGCACACTTTTCTTGATTTTTAAACCACTCAGTATACCCTTGGTTCTGTTTGAAAGACTGCTTCATGGTCTATGTACAGGTTCCTCATGAGCACAATTAAGTGTTCTGGAATACTCATTCACTGCAATGTTGTCCATAACTTGTCGTGATCCACACAATCAAAAGCCTTTGCATAGTCAATAAAGCACAGGTAAATATCTTTCTGGTATTCTCTGCTTTTGGCCAAGATCCATCTGGCATCAACAGTTATATCCCTCGTTCTACGGCCTCTTCTGAATCTGGCTTGAACCTCTGGCAAATTTCCTGTAGATGTTACAGTCATTTTGTAATCGCCTTTTGCTAACTTTTACTTGTATGTGGTATTAAAGATACTATTCGATGTTTTCTGTATTCTGTTGAGTCACCTCCCTTCGGTGTGGGAACAAATATGGATCTCTTCCAATCATGTGGCGAGGTGGCTGTCTTCCAAACTTCTTGGTATAATAAGTGACTGCCTCCAGTGCTGCATCAGTTTGTTGAAAGATTTCTATTAGTATTCCATCAATTCCCAGAGCCTTGTTCTTTGTCAATGCCTTCAGTGCACCTTGGACTTCTTCCTTCAGTATCACCGGCTCTTGATTATATGCTACCTTTTGAAATGCAAGAAATTAAGATCTGAACAAAAATTTTCAAAGGACAGCAAGAGAAGACAAAGTATTATAATGAAATGTACAAAGACCTGGAATTAGAAAATGGAAAAAGAGAGAACTTGATCAGCATTTCTCAAGCTGAAAGAACTGAAGAAAATATTCCAGCCTTGACCTGAAATATTGAAGAATTCTATGGGCAAAATACTGAATTATGCAGAAAGCATAAAGAGAAGATGGAAGGAATACCCAGAGTCACTCTGTCTTATGGTGTCCTGGTGTGGTGCTGCAGGATAAAGCACTGGACCACAAGGTCAGTTTGAGCTGCAAGATCGGCGGATCAAACCCACCAGCTACTCCTCAGAAACTCTAGACAGGGTCGCTATGAGTCGGAACCGACTCCATGGCACTCAACAACAATATATGTCAGAATCAGCTGGATGGTGGTGGGGTTAGGATTTCAAAGGGCCCTGGTGATGCCACAGTTAAGCACTTAGCTGCTAACCATCAAGTTGACAGTTGGTCCCTACCAGCCAATCCAAGGGACAAAGATGTGGCTGTCTGCTTCTGTAAAGGTTTCGGCCATGAAAACTCTACGGGCCGCATGCATCTATTGTGTCCTATAGGCTCACTATGAGTCCGAAACCACCTGAAAGCAGTGGGTTTGGTTTGGGCTTTGGGTACTTCAAAAAAGAAACATCACAGTTACAACATAAAAGAAAAATGACACTGCATCAGTACCTTTCCACACACTGCATTCGTGTTAGGGGAGGCTGGCATCTTCGGTTATGAGCTTCTCGGGCAGCAAGTCTAGCTTCCGACAACTGAAAACAAGCACAAAACCCATTTCATAAACTATCAAACTTTCTAGCACCCTAGAGAAACTGCCATGACATTCTTAAAGCAAGAAGTCAAATCCAAGTAACTCAATGATGTAAGCATGCATTCATTTCAGGGGGTAACCAAACATAGAGAACTGGGGAATTCTAGGGCAGTTTAAAGCAACAGACAACCAGACTATTTCCTAGTAAACCTAAAAAAACTAGAAAGTCGCCAGTGAACACATTCAAAACTTTAACTGAAGCTGCTGAATCCAAGATACCAAGCTCGTAACTCTATTCCAAATGCCTTTGTAGGGTCAACCCATAATTATATAAAGGATGTCCAATCCTACTGTTGTTAAGTGCCGTCAAGTTAGTTCCAACTCATAGTGACCCTATGTACACCAGAAGGAAATACGGCCCAGTCCTGCGCATTGCTGCCACTGTGTGCCAATCCATCTCACTGGAGGTCTCCTTCTTTTTTGCTGACTCTCCATTTTATCAAATATGATTATCTTCACCAGGGACTAATCCTTCCTGATTACATGTCCAAAGTATGAGGACGAAGTCTGGCCACCTTGGTTTCTAAGGAGCAACATGGTTGTCCTTTTTCCAACACAGATTTGTTTGTTCTTCTGGCAGTCCATAATACCATTAATATTCGTCTCCAGCACCACAACTCAAATGCATCAATTCTTATATAGTTTTCCTTATGTTCAATGCAGATGTGAAAAAAGGTTTTCAAACATCTAGAAATGATCATGAATTAGACTGTTTAAGGCAAAATCTACATTTGCAGAGCATCAGTTATCCAATACTAACATCTTGAAGAATCTTAAGATAAACTGGTTTTGAAGACTGTGGTTCAAGATACCAGTAACTGCTGTTGTTAGGTATTGAGTCATTGTCTACTCATACAGAGCCCGTGTGGCAGTGAACAAGTGCCCCATAGGGTTTTCTTGGCTGTAATCTATATGGAAACAGATTGTCACAAAGTGGGTAGGTTCATACACAAACTCCAGTTTCCCATATTGACAATACAATTTGAGACTGTCACTTTCATCTCTCTTAGATATGTGTACCGCATGTAATGTTCAAATGGCATACATGTTTATGGGTTCAGACATTGTCAATACAACTGTCATGTACATCAAAAATAATATGTATTCCAAAGTTGATATACCTTTTCATCTTCCCACTGAAAAAAATTACAGTCTTTCCTATCTCTAGAGGCAGAGCAGGCATAAAACCTTCTGGTTTCTTCTCTCCCTTGGTTCACCTTTACAAACAGAAGAGTAGGTCCTAGCCCAAAACAGGAAGAAGAAAAAAAAAGTTAAACAATAGTTACCTACATCAAGTTTCTAAGCTTTCACCATTCTTAAATGGAACTGGTTTGGGTTTTATACTCGATGTGTCATAATTATATACACAACTGTTTAACACATCCAAACATGGCCTACTTACTAGAAGTAAATATTAATCTCTGAAAGCTGGCCTCTGTGGAAATAAAATGATATTGTCAGTATAGCAGATGACTACATGGTGAATAGAGTCCTGGCTTGGCGCTGTGGGTTAATGAGCTGGACTGCAAAGTTGGTTTGAACTGCAAGGTCGGTGGTTCAAGCTCATCAGCCGCTCCTTGGAAACCCTATACAGGGTCGCTATGGGTCGGAACCGACTCAACGGCACTTAACAACAACAAGGTGAATGCTACAGGCCTGGGTCATGAGATTAAAACAAAGAAGGGGTCTAGAAAACTCAGCACTTCGCCTAGATGGCTCCGTTATCCTTACAGTGAAAACCCCGTGGGGCTTTACAGGGGTACACACACTCTCCCTACAAGTTAGAGAAAACTTGTACGGTTTCCAGGTTAAGAGCTCATTCTGTCGTTTTCCTTAACGGATTTAAAAGACAACACTGTAACAACGCAAGTCGCAGAATACGAGTCCTTTAGTTCCATACATCCCCTCTGCCTACACTCTGTCGCTCCGCACCCCTCCAAACAGATATGCAACAGCCCTGAAATCAAACCACAATAGTGGGGACTTTCTATCAGGGTTTCTCAAGAAGCCTGAAAACTAAATGTCTCAAGAAGGGGCGATTTCCAATCATCACTCGGGGTGGGAGAGAGGGACAGTCGTAAAAGCCCACTTCCCGGCACCCGGGCTGTGACCAGACGTGGACCCACCGTGAGGGCACAGCGGAGCAGGGGCGGCGGGGTCCGCTGGTTGCACCACCTCCACGCCCGAGCTCCTCCGGCACCCCGCGCTCCCCTCGGCCTCCACGGTTTCCCGCTGGTCCCTGGGGGCCGCCATCTTCCCACCGCCGTCCCGAAAGCCTCAGCCTGGACCATCGAGGCCGAGAAAGAGCGCCGCCGTGACCCACAGCGCCGCCTCAAGCCCTGGAGGAGCTATGCACGCCGGCGAGGAGGGCCTGCCCCCAAGAGGACGTCCCCACCTGCGCCCTCTAGCGATAGGGCTGGCAGGCCATTTGTTGGGCTTTGGCAATGTACTGATTTGGTGTCTATTCTGTGTGACACCCTCAGGACCTATCCCTGTGAACTCCCTTCGTTCCTAAAAGGATAGCTGGAATAGAAGACGAATCTCTGGAGCAAACATTTGGTTGAGCTGCAAGTCCAAAAGGCAACATCCCACCAACAGCTGCTGACAAAAGAAATAACTCTATTTCTTACCCGTTTCTTCCCACCCCTCATCCCCTAAGCGTTAGCACTATCTTCCAACAGACGTTTACAGTTGCATATCCGTTGACGTGCATACACGTGCTTAAGTTTACAAAGTCTTACTTAACGTTGTTGTTAAGGTCCTTCCAGTTGGTTCAGACTCATAGCAACCCTGTATAGGGTTTCTGAGGAATGGCTGGTGGGTTAGAACCGCTGACCTTGCTGTTCCTCTTTATTCTTTATCATGTTCCTGTGAGGGAAGATAGCCTAGTACATAGTTTTGGCTCCTCTTTCTCTTTCATAGCCCACATCTGACCACCAGGAAATCTTTCATACCTTCACAATGGATTCAGCATCCTGCCGCTTCTCACCATCTTCTCTGCTTCCGCACCTGGTTTGAGCCATCATCATTCCTCACTAGCAATGCTACAGGGGTCTGCTCACTGACCTCCCTGCTTCTGTCCTTACATGCCCCCTCCCCCCACGTGATTAATTTAAAGCCTAAGTCAGACTGTCAGGGGGAGGTTAGGACACCTGGGCCTTAGGCCTCTCTCACCCTGGTTTCATATCCACCTCTTTGCCTTGAGTCCCCTGCTACTAAACAGAGATCAAGAAACGGGGAAGACATCGCTAGTCCAACACGAATGGTAACATTGAAAGGAACAACCTGAAGCCAGTGATGAGGATATCAGGACCTGAAGCCTCAATATAAGTAGCTGGTCACAGGCAGCTAATCCATGAAGATAGGGCCTAGAGCTGACAAATGCAGAAAGCACTCTGTTTTCAAGAAGCCTGCACCCCTTTACTAAAAATCAATGAATATTCCACATGTCACTCCTCTTAATCAATATGCATGAGCATCCTCTTGGCGGAGGAAACCTCCTAGCTTTGTAAGCCAGTGCAACCCAACCCCAGAGAGTCTTCTCCACTCATGGAGACGACTCGCTTCTCTCTATGAAGTGAACTTTCACTTTGACTCAATCTATGCTCCCCAATTCTACCAGGTCTTCACTTACAGAGACAGACTGCTTCTCTCTCTCAAGTGTACTTTGACTTTGCAGTAAAGAGCTTCTGAGTGAAGGTTTATTGTTCATGTGGTTGAGAAGCAGTGACTCTGTGAGACTAATTCTTTAGACCCTCCTGAGAACAAGAGGGACCAGGGAAGAACATGACAAGACCATGTTCTTCCTCTGCTCAAAGCTTTCCAGTGGCTTCCATGTCATCAGAGTCAAAGTGAAAGTCTTCATAGCTTCCTACATTCTAACCTTTTTCAGGAACCTCTCCGAGTTTACCTTCTACCCTTCTTTCACTCCATCCTCTCCACTAACATGCACCTCTTTGCTGCTGCTCAGACACACGAAACACACTCCTTTCCGAAGGCCCTTCAGCCTGCTGCCTCTTCCCTCTACTGGAACACTGGTAGTGGTGGTGGACTAAGTGAAGCCCCCGAAGAACCTTCCAGTGGGTTTCCTGCTGTGTCAGGGGAAGGGGTGAGGGGGAGTGGTTACAGGTGGGTGAGACCCCTTGGTCCCGAGGGGTGAAACTCCCTGTATGGTTGGAGGCAGACCAGAGCAAAGACCCCTCTCCCCCATGCAAATCTAAGGTGGCAGTGAGCTTACCCAGAAAATAGAATTGTCAAGTTGAAAATGACATGTAACCACATGGATGTGTCCCATGAATAAAATGCAGAACCCACACAAAGTTAAATGAGAAAGGATATACAGCTGGTGTGGTGGTTGCTAAGTGCCATTGAGTCAGTTCTGACTCATGATGACCCTATATAGGGTTTCCGAGAAGCGGCTGGTGGGTGTGAACCGCTAACTTTGTAATTAGCAGTCCAGTGCTTAGCCACACCAGGATTAAGTATGTAAATGCTACATGATGTTGGTGGTTGTGTGCTGTGGAGTTGGTTCTGACTCATAGGGACCCTGTATAGGGCTTCCAAGGCTATACATCTTTATGATAGAAGAAAGCCTCATCTTTCTCCTGAGGAGCAATTGGTAGATCCAAACTCCTGACTTTTTGGTTAGTAGCCCAGCTCACAATTCATTATGCTACCAGTGTTCCATAAATGTTACATGGTGGTGGTGGTTATGTGCCGTTACGTTGGTTCTGACTCATAGTGACCCTGTATAGGATTTCCAAGGTTGCAAATCTTTATGGGAGTAGAAAGCCTCTTCTTCCTCCCATGAAGTAACTGGTAGATTTGAACTACTAGCCTTGTGGTTAGAGGTCCAGCTCATAACATTCACATAAAGTTCAAAACAGGACAGTTGTGATGACGGCTCAAATTTCTGAAAAAAGCATGACATCAGTGAATGTTCACTTTTAAAGGGTGAAGTTTATGGTATGTGAATGTGGCTTCCATTTTAAAAAGGGCAAAAGCAATCTATGGTATTAAGAGTAAGGAGAGAAATGTTGAGTAATGTATGCTCAACCTTGGAACAACAGGGCTCTGTGATACAGAGATTGAGTCCTGGTTTGAATGGGCAAAAGAGGGAAATAGTGTTAAGATGCTTGACTATCTTATGAATCTTGGTTTCCCTTGTGTACTACTGTAAAATAGACACTTGAGGGGGAGAGAATGGAATAGCCAGGAACATCACTATAGAAATCTTGTAAGCCCGTCTTCAGCTTATAACTGATTGATGTTGATGTTAAGTGCCGTTAAGTCAGTTCCAACCCATAGTGACCCTGTAGAGGGTTTCCTAGGAACGACTTGTGAGCTTGAACCACCAACCTTGCAGTTCTACCTAACTTTGCAGTCTAGCACATTTACACACAGTGCCACACCAGGACTCCTTACAACTGATTGGAATACCTAAAATGGGGCTAGAACTTGCCCAGTGAAAGAGGCTTCCTGAAGAGCCTTTGCATTACCTAAGACCATAGGTGGAATCCTGATCCCCATCCAGAATCTTCTGAGGTGGGAAATTTCCACTTGAAAAGACAAGCAGACAAGCCTGGAGCAGCTAGAGGAATAGAAAATAACTTCTTGAAAGAAAGACCAGTAGGAAAAAATCAAAAATAATATCGGCAGCCTGATTGACTACTACAAGAACAAGCAAATTGTTCACAGGGGAGCCATCAAGACAAGCAATCACGTCCCCTCAGAGCAAATCCCCTTCCAAAATGAAACTCAAAGGGAATACACAAGCAGGCATGTAATCTTGCTGGTGACCACGTTGGTCTATATACAGGGAAGTGGGGGGAAAACAGCAGTGAAGCTGTGAGCTAAATCTGACCACATTCAATAGACTCCTGTCAACCTGGATCACAACCTGATTGACCAGCAGTATAGCGAGACTTGGGGACTCCTGAGCCCATGGACAGGGACATAGCCAGAGAAGACTAGAGAGGAGAGTGAAGCATCCAGCTGATATGAAGTGAGGGGAGAAGCACAAGAACGCCCATACTTGCAGATAGTACCCATTTGACCTACCTTCAATAGCTGAATGATCAGTATTTGACTAGAGGAAGAAAGAAGAGGGAAAAAAAGTATAATCACTACAATTTGATGAACTTGACCTATACTTATGGATGTAGTAGCTTAAAAGAGGAAACAAATCTTTAAAGCAAGGATCATTCCCACCCCCTCAGTACACAGGGTTGACAGTGATGGGCAACTTAGACATTGGCTACCCAAAATGGGGGAGCTTACAAGTTTTCAAAAGGGTTCAGGGGTAGGTAGAATTTCCACTGGGTAGTTTCCAACCTCTTTTGACAGGGCTGGTGAAAGGAGATGGGGCTAAGATTCTTGTGGTTCAGTAGTGAATAATTGCTATCAGGACTGATTGCGAATGTTGCAAATATAAAGGTAGACATTTTGTAACAAAAGGAGGGGAGTGGTTGACTTTGCAGTCCAGGAGCGGAGAATCCTGGGACCATCAAGGGAGAAGAGTGGAGTGTGGGACCGTATCCAGAGAAGCAGCACCGTCAGAGAGGAGGCAGAGCCGATGACGTGGAGAGATGGAGCAGCTGGAGACTTTGGACTTAGGGAGAGAGAGGGGCTGTGTGCTGGCGGCTGGGGGGCAGGCTTACAAGTTATACCTTTTGGTTGTTTGACTGGTTATATATTCCTGAGTGCTTTGGTGTACATCCAAAATATAAAACAAAATAAAATAAATAGAGGGAATGGAAGCAAATGCTGTTGAATGATGATGTGCTGAGGGCATTGTAATCATTGTAATGAAACGAAATACGATAGGATGAATGTAGAGCTGATGTACGCCCATTAAAACTACCACTCAATTCACTATAAAAACTTTGAAAAAAGAGTAAGGCTAGAAGTACCATGGTGGGCAGCTTTTAGAAGAATTTGGCATATGCTCTATGCGGATCTCTCGCTCTCAGTGTTACAAAACAAAAGGCTGTCTCCCAGCACTTTTCTCTAAACTTCGTGAGAGCAGTCACATTTGCTTAAGCTGAATGCTCAGCTCTTCGAACATGTTATTGTTGTCAAGTACCGTTGAGTCGGTCTTAAAACCCAGACAAATCCACTGCCATCCAGTTGATTCCAGCTCAGAGTTACCCTTGCTCAGCAGAACGAAATGCTCTCTGGTCTTGCACCATCCTCACAATCATTGTTACACTTGAGCCCATTACTGCTGCCGCTATGCTAGTCCATCTTGTTGGGGGTCTTCCTCTTTTCCACCGA